TGGCCTAGGGCCTTTTCGGAACTTTATTAACATTCCATGAGTTGTCCTGTTTTCCCTGAGTCATTCCCAGCATGGCCTCCATTTTAGATTTCACTCGGTATTAGACCCGATTTACCTAACTACACTGACTACCTAACTTTAAATCTGGCTTCAGGAGGCCAGGCCCCGCTGCTCCTCCAGTGATCCTGGGGTTTTTCTGCTGGAGCACGGGCTCCCCAGCGAGTCCCAGAGGGCGTGGGCCTGGGAGGCAGGCCTGCTGCTGTTTGCCAGTTTACATGTGTCGTTCATTCTGAAGTGAAAAGCGCTGAGGCAGGAGTTATTTTGAAGTCCCCTTTGCTGATTAGCCTGAAGATAAAACCCGATGACTGTCCTGCTTGCTGTTCCTGGGTTGTAGCTGTCATTTCCACAGGAGCTGGGCTTTTCTCTTCTCCTCGTGGGGCTGACAGGATGGCATGGTCACACAGTAGCGTCCAAGAGATGGCAGCCTTGGGTTTTTTTTTTTTTTTTTTTTTATAAACAAAAAGGAGAACAACTTTATTTGACAAAAGACAAAGTTATTTATGGTAGTTTTTTGCTCAGATAATGCAGTGGACAGCTGTGCTTTATCCTCCAGGTTTGTCTCAACCAAACCCAGCTCCTGGCCTGTCTTTTGGCCCAGTAACAATGTTATTCAGAACAAAAACATTTTGGCTAATAAAAATTTAGGGTGAGCGTTTGTTAAGTTACATGAAGATGGGGTGGGGCACTGTCAGCAATGACACAGCAAAATAGAGGGGGCGTGGAGGACCCAGTGATGTTTCACTGGGGGAGGTGCAGCAGAGACGCCGCCTCCAGCCCCACAGCAGGGAATCCCCTGCCTCCTCCTACTCCTAGAACCTGCCTGTTCTAGGGCTACCTGTCCAGCAGATGGCCCGCTGCTCCCCCAGTGTGGATGCTGGGAGCTTCTGACAGTCCCATCCCAAGTTCCTAAAGGAACTCGGACTACATGGCAAGACTTCGAGAAAAAATGGGGAGAAAAAAAGGGAAAAATATTAAAGCCAGAAGCCCATTGATCCAGCCCGGCTGACCCACCCCACCCCAGAACACAGTCAAACGGAAATCTCTGGCCGTCACCCTTCCCTGCTCTTGGTCTAGGTTGAGTCGGTTCTGCTGGACTCCCCCTTGGCTGTGGCCATGCCCTTCTGTGCCCAATACAGAAGAGCCAATGAGATGGCGGCATTTCTTCCCACCAGTGTGTCGCACCCGGCTGGTCTCCGTCTGAATTGTGGACAGGCAGAGTTTGTCGAGTACATTTCCTTTACTAGCCAGGATACAAGGCTCATCTCATCAGCCTTGTTTTTATATTTCATCTCTTAATTCTGGCTAATTTAGACAGCTCTTTTTTWAATTAAATTTGTGTTTTGCGGTAGTGGGGCTGGAACCCGGGAGGCGGATACTAGAAGCCACCCCGTCCCTATCCTTAACTTGGGGTGCTTGGGGCTCCCCTGGCTTGTTTCATGATTCAGTCTGGAGCCACGAGCCCTTGTTCAGGGTGCGTTCTGTGTCTGTCCTTGCAGGCGGGGGAAGGGAAGGACCCAGCTCGCTCTGCTGCCGCGTGCCCTGCAACGCCCGGGTGCTGCTGCCGGTCAGACCGAGAACGGCCCTGCCCCTCGCCCAGCAGTCCCCACCTCTGAGGCCGCTGAGGCGCCCAAGATGTCCAATGCTGATTTTGCCAAGTTGCTTCTGAGAAAGTGAAAGCAACGCTGTGAAGGACAGGAAATGCCTTACTTCCCGCTGGTCAGGCAGCCCACCCAGCACCCAGCACCCAGCACCCAGCACCCAGCAGCGCCTGGGCCAAGGAGGGGCTGTGCACACCCCTGCACCCCTGGACTCCGCGGGGCTCAGACGGGGCAGTGTCCAGGGGAAGAGGCGCCCAGTGCTCCCTCACATTGAGGGCAGTGGAGCAGGGCACGGCCGGCAGGGCGCCTGTCCCTACGGACTTTTGTGTCCTGAAGAATGAGGAGCAGAAGTGACACTGGAACATGGCTCTTGAGACCCACTTGTCCCAATGCTCCGGGCCACCTCTGGCCCTTTTTGTAAGACATTTCTCTCCCATCCTGCACAGCACACGTGCCCGTCACTTTTAATTTTTAAAAGATGAGAAACGGCGGATGCTGGCGACTCACCAGAACGGCCTATTTTAGTAAGGGGCGGGGGGCGGGGGCCCCACACCCAGCACTTGGTGGGCTTTTGTTCACAGGGGTTGTTTTTTTCTATTATGTATTTGTAAACCACACRTCAACTGTTGTTTTATGTTTCCTAAAAGCAAAATATTTGCGACATGTGTTTTCTATAGGAATCCCGCGTGGACCATTTTCTTTGCTAGTGACTAGTCATTCTGGGTCTAGAGATTGGGGTTCAGCCTTGGGTTTTGTTTAAATACTTCAGTTCTCCCAGTTAGCTTTGTTGATTAAACGGAGTTCTCTTGAGTCACCTTGCCGTGGTCCTCAGCTGTGCATCACACGTTTGGTCACGGGTCGCAGGTGTAAACTGGAGTTTTCTAAGTCAGACCTCCCGGGACTTTCCTCCAGCAGCGATGCGTCTTCAGTCTTGGACTGGAGTTCATGGCGGTTTGACACTTGGCGTTTTTACCTCTCACCTCACCAGACACTTAGCAAGTGGCCTGAAAGCAGCCTGGCCCGCTGGGGGACCTGCCCTGACCCAGGCCCCCGGGAGCAGGGTGGGGGCCCTTCCCTGCAGTGGAGACCAGCTCCTCAAGTGTTTGTTTTGTGAAGCTGCTTCTGTGCGTCAGCCACGCTTTCCTGCATTTTTTGTAACTTTACATTTTTTTTTTAATATCTTTATTCTATTTATGTGGTGCTGAGGATCGAACCCGGTGCCTCACGCATGCTAGGTGAGCACCGTACCTCCGAGCCACAACCCCAGCCCCATAACTTGACATTTTTTAACAGGAAGCTTTGAACAGGCAGAACCATGAAACTAGATAGACCTGCTTGCCTATCTCCGAGTGCCAGCTCTCCTGCGCCCGGTTGGGCCCTCACCTCACTGTCCCTTCCACCTCCTGCTGTTACCTTGAGGCCTGCCCAGATARCAGCTCATGCGTCTAACCTGAGAGAGAAGGACCTAAGGGCCAGTTGGTTTTCACCCTGAGAAACGTTAGCAGTGAGACCTTAAGGTCACTGGCGACCCAGAGTGTCTAGTCAGCGTCCGTGTCTCCTTGTAAATGATCGCCGGTTGATCATGTCTTAGGACCTTCGAGATGCAGGGTCCCTTTGGTCTTTCTCTTTACACAAAACAAACTCCCTTTTCTTGGCATTACCTCTGGAAGCAGCTCGGGCAGCCGCTGTCGGCAGTAGGAGCCTTGCATGGCCCTGGTACCTCCTGGGTCTGTCCCTTTTCTGGTCACTGTGAGGCCTGCTGGTGGCTAGGTGATTGGGGGCTCCGAGGGAACCTGTGCCTGCCTGAGCATCCTCCCCACTGCAGGGCCTAGGGGCCCACCTCTGGCTGTGTCCCAGGCCCTGCCCTGATCCCTGCTGTTGGCCAGGGCCCGACCTCACTTCCGCTGTCCACGTGGGCTGGTGATGGAGGAGCCTTTGGACACTCAGCAGGACCGTGGAGAAGCTGGCTGCTGGCTGCTGTAGCGTGGGTTTCTGAGAATGTGAGGGGGCTTTTGTGATTTCCTCAGAAATCAAGAACTGGTGGTAAAGACAGACACGAAAAATCATTTTGAATCAGTTAAAAAAAATCAATATTTCCTGCGCATTAGCCTGGGAAGGCAGTTCATGCAACCAGCTCTGTCCTGCCTCCTGACACCACCATCCTAGGTCTGCTGTCCCAGGATGATGTAAGAGCAGGGTGGCCTTTCACAGCGCCCTCTCCTTTTTTCTTTCTTTCTTTCTTTTTTTTTTTTTACTAAAGAGAGAGTGAGTGAGAGAGAGAGAGAGAATTTTTTAATATTTATTTTTTAGTTTTTGGCAGACACAACATCTTTGTTKGTATGTGGTGCTGAGGATCGAACCCGGGCCACACGCATKCGAGGTGAGCGCGCTACCGCTTGAGCCACATCCCCAGCCACGCGCCCTCTCCTTCTGATCACTGGAAATAAACCCTTTGAGTAAGGYGGCAGAGTCTGACCTTTATGTAATAAAATACTTTATTAGAATCAGTAATTTGTTAAAATAACATCCTTCACATGTAGCTAAAGTGCAAATTCTAAAGGACAAAGCACACACTCCTGCCACGCTTCCTTGTCACCAGTTACAAACCAAGACAGCAGAAGATACCACCTGGGTGCACGGGCAGAAGGACCACTGCATACGCCTTTGCACTTATTTTTCTTAACCTTCCAGAAAACCACTCTGTGCCATTGTGAATGACTATAGACATTTGCTGCTGTCTGAGCAGTGACCGCATGGCTGTCAGGAACTCAATCCTAAAAGCAAAGGTAGGACAGCACGTTGTGATTCTCGACCATGACAAAGTGCAGTGCAGTGTCACGCTGCAGGCTCTGTCCCTGGGCAAGGACGCTAGTGAGTTTTGGCCATTCTGACACTAACTAGCAGCAGTCCAATTGGAAGTTGTGCCACCTGTGATTGGAAGAGAAGATTCTATTTCTGTGAGATGACAGGTTGGAAACCTGGCCATATTATTTATGACACTGTGTCATTTTGCAGGTTGCTAGAAAAATACAGCCACTCGGAGGCAACCTCTCCTGCTTCCTCGATGGGAGGCTGGACAGCAGAGGGGCTATGTGAGGTGAGGCCAGGGCTGTGAGGGGCAAAACTACCCCACAGGGACTCTCCTGGCTGTGGCAGGGCTCTAGCTCAGTATCAGAAATGCTTAATGGGCTGATGGGGCATCTTTCTTGGATATGCCCTAAGATCAACAGGGAGCTTGCAGGGGGAGGGAGGGCTGGCCTCCTGGGCAGCCGGCTGCAGGGGGTGGCTGACCCAGGGACGCTGAGCCCCAGAGAAAGCTCTGGGCCCCGCTGCTGCGAGTGGAGTGCAAGGAGAAGCTGATGCACTAAGAAGCCAGGCTGGCCGCCCTCCCCTCCTGAACTAGAAAAATAGTCTCCATATGAAAAACAGCTTCTGGCACTCAAGTCTGCAAATTAACGGTGCTCAAAGAGCCTTCCCCGAGACGAGCAAGGAGTCCCACTAGAAATGTCACATTCATTTCCTACCTCAAATGGTGGCGCTCCTAGGGAAAGCCACTCCGCTTGTCTCTTGGGAGGGGAGCCAAACTCCAAGAAGATGCTCTCTCTCCCAAGAACTGGGATGGCTTCTTCCCGGGACTGCTGACTCCCCTTAGAGCCACACACTGCTCACAGCCAGTTTCAGAGAAAGGCTTGGCCTCTCTCCCTGGCCTTAGTGCAAATTCTGCTCCAGAACCCGGGTTCTGGTCACACAGGAGCATCAGTGCTCCTGCGGTGGGGGGACCACTGATCAGAGCAGCCACCAGCAGAGCCACAGTGGACACCACCCACGACTGGCTTGCTCAAAAGAAGAAAATAAATAACTGTTGAATTATAAATTATCTTAAAGAGACTAAGGCTTAATAATTTAGTTTTTTTTTTTTTTTAACCAGGAAAAAAAAAAAAAAAGAGGTAAAGACTTCAAAGGTCTGTTCTGCTTCTGGAGATGCGAGGTTTCTAGAAATGCTGTCTCTTTGATCCCTTCCCTACCTTGCCTTGTCACCGGGGCTAGGGCTTCACAGGAAGGGTCTCCTTGAACCCAGAATGGTTGGGGTTGGCTTCCGGCAGCGCCACGGAGTACTCGGTGGTGGCTAAGAGCAGGGTGTCCAGGGTGGTCTCGGTGCACTTGGCGATGAAGCGGATGAAGGGCCTCACGTCGCCCTCGTTGGCGGCCTCCAGCACGTGGTAGTACTCGGCCCGCTGCTCCTTGCGGATGGTGACGGGCGGGTAGCCGGCCTGCATGAGGATGAGGTTCATGAGCAGGCGAGACGTCCTCCCGTTGCCGTCGATGAAGGGGTGGATGTAGACGAGTTTGTAGTGGGCCAGGGCTGCGAACTCCACGGGGTGCAGGTGCATGGCGTCCTCCGAGTTGAGCCACTGGATGAACTCGTGCATCTGCTTCTCCACGTCCTGGGGATGCGGGGGGATGTGGTGTCCCACCAGGACCTGGGTCGTCCGGAACCTGCCGGCCTCCACGGGGTCCACGTAGCCCAGCACCCGCCTGTGGATCTCCAACACGTCGCTGGTGGTGACAGAGCCGATGCGGGACAACAGGGTGGCGTTGATGTACTTCATGGCGGCGTGCATGCCGATGACCTCGTTCTGCTCCTCCAGGCTCTTGCCCGGCACGGCGTAGCGGGTCTCCAGGATGTGCCGGATCTCCGAGAGCGTCAGGGTGTTGCCCTCGATGGCCACCGTGTGGTAGATGTGGTGGTAGTAGGTCTCCTCCATGACCCTGCGCAGCGCCGAGTTGCCCTTGGGGATGGACATGACCTTCTTGACCTTGCTGTCGATGATGCTGAAGTAGCGCTGGTCAATCTCCTCCACCAGCGGCAGCGTCCGGTCCCGGTAGACGAGCGCCTTCTCGTGGAAGGGTGAGATGGTCAGCGCCCTGGTGAACAGGTAGTCGGCGCGGATGATGTCCTTGTCTTCTTCCGAGAAGATGCCGAACTCGGTGAGCGCATCCGCGAAGTCCGGGTCCATCTTGAGGGCGTGCAGGAAGAGCTTGTGCGCCTTGCCCCGCTTGCCCTGGCGCTTCATCTCCAGGGCCTGGTTCAGGGCCGCTCTGGCCTCCAGCTTACCTGCTGGAGAGAGCCGAGGCCCGGTCCCCGTCAGGTCTGTCACCGCGCCCAGCGCCCCTGCTGTCCCCAGCCCTATGGGGTGGGGGCTGTCGTCYCTGCTGCCCTAGGTCTGCACCCAGGAGGCACCAGCTGGGCCCCCTAGCCCTCCCAGGTCTGCTGCTGCCATGGCCAGTGGCTTCCCCTCAGCCACGACTCCGGACAGGTGGCCTCCTGCCCCTTCCACAGCTCAGCCATCTCTGAGGCTGGTCCTGGCCTCCGTCCCTCAGGCCTGGGGCATCAGTGGCTCCCACTCCCACTAGACCCTGTGGCCTTGGCCATCTTTTATCTCACAGGTTCGCTCATACTCCCCTGGGAGACATCTGGCAATGTTTGGATGCATGTTTGGCTGTCACAGCTGGGGCACCTGGTGGCAGAGGCAGGCTTGCTGCTCCACCTTGGTGCATGAGGGACCCTGGTGGAGGCGCAGAGCCCCACTCTGGACCTGGCCCTCCTTTCYCAGCCCTGTCCTGGTGACAGGTGTCAGCCATAGGTACTCCACTTCTCTGGGTCCCTCCGTGTCCCCGGGCTCTCTTCCCCTGTGGTCTCTGCCGCTCACCTCTTCTCCTTGGACCACACCTGCTTAGCGTCAGCTCAGGACTGGGCTCAGGCACTCCCTCCCCCAGGGAGCCTTTCCGTGTGC